CCATCAACCTTTTGAATTTCGACGTCTCCACGTTCAATGATCTCTCTTATCAAGTGATACCTTTGTAGGACGTGTTTGGATTTTTGGTGTGATCTTGGTTCTTTTGCTTGAGCAATGGCTCTAGTATTATCACACAATAATAGAACTGCACCTTCTATTGAAGGAACCACACCAAGTTCATTTAAGAACTTTTTCATCCATGCAGATTCACTAGCGGCTATATATTCTGCTTCAGTCACTGAATCAGCTACTGTAGCTTGTTTGGAACTTTTCCAACTCACTGCCCCACCATTTAAGGTGAATATATAACCAGAAATAGATTTGCTATCATCTCTATCTGAAGAGAAACTTGCATCAGTATAACCTTCAAGTTTCAACTCAGAATCTCCATAAATGAGGAATTGGTCTTTAGTCCTTCTTAAGTACCTAAGAATGGCCTTCACCACCTTCCAATATTCCTCACCAGGATTTGCCTAATATCGGCTAGTCACTCCTAGTGCATAAGCCACATCAGGACGTGTACATGGCATGGTATACATGATAGCTCCCACTGCACTAGCGTATGAGATACTACTCATGCGTTCTCTCTCTTCAGGTGTTTTAGGACAATCCTCCCTACTGAGAGTAATTCCAGTGCCTATCGGTAGATAGCCTCTTTTGGAACTATCCATGTTATACCTCTTTAAGATGCTATCAATGTACAATGACTGGGAAAGCCCAAGCAGCTTCCTAGATCTATCTCTATAGATCTTTATTCCCAATATATAAGCTACTTCTCCCTAGTCTTTCATGGAGAACTGTTCAGATAGCCAAATCTTGGTACTTTGCAATGCCAGTATATCATTTTCTATGAGCAATATATCATCAACATAAAGTATTAAGAATATAATTGTGCTCCCACTAACCTTTTTGTACACATAAGGTTCTTCTTCGCATTTAACAAAATTGAACTTTTCAATTGTCTTGTTAAAGCGAATATTCCAACTTCGAGAAGTTTGCTTTAGTCCATAAATAAATCTTTGTAGCTTACAAATTTTATTTCAGACGGAGATGTGAAACCTTCAGGTTGTGTCATGTACACATCCTCTTCTAGCTCACCATTAAGGAAAGTTATTTTCACATCCATTTGCTATATTTCATAATCATAGTAGGCTGCTATAGCAAGCAAAATGCGAATTGATTCGAGCATTTCCACGGGAGAGAAAGTCTCGTCATAGTCGACTCCTTCTTTTTGACGATATCCCTTGGCAACAAGACGGGCTTTGTAGGTCTCCACCTTTCCGTCTGCTCCAATCTTTTTCTTAAATACCCATTTACAACCTATAGGTTTTATATCCTTTGAAGGTTCAACTAAAGTCCATACTTTATTTTCCTTCATGGATTCCATTTCGGATTCCATGGCCTTTTGCTATTTCTCATAATCAGGACTTTGTATAGCCTCTTCATAGGTCTTAGGGTCATCATCATTATGAACAACCTTATTTGATACATCATCTTGTACTATTAGATTTAATCTAGTTGGTACATGACGTTCTCGTGTAGACCTTCTAAGAGGTGCTTGTACAACTTGTTCACCTTGTGCTAGATTTGGTTGTTGTTCAATTTGGTTTGGAACAGGTTCATTAACCTGTTCTTGAACTACATTTAGTTCTTGAACTTCAACCGTTGAAGATGGCAACTTCCTTGTCAACTTCAAAACATCCAATAAAGGTTCTTCAACTTGTGTCTCATGATCTTGATTTTGTGTTTATTCATTTGTTTCTTGAACTTCATCAAGTTCTATTTCTCCACTATAATTTTCTTCCAAAATAAATTCCCTTTCCAAAAAGGTTGCTCAAGGGTGATAAAAATAATATCCCATTGTTTCTTTGGGATACCCAATGAACCTACACTTATTAGATCTTGAGTTAAGTTTATCAAATTGAAATCTCTTAACATAAGCTGGACAACCCCAAACTTTAATATGCTTAAGATTAGGCTTAAGTCCTTTCCATATCTCATATGGTATTGTAGAGACTGACTTAGTAAGAACTTTATTAAGTAAGTATGTTGTTGTTTCCAAAGTATACCCCCATAAATATTTTGGAAGATCAGTAAACCCCATCATAGATCTCACCATATCTAATAAGGTTCGATTTTTCCTTTCAGATACACAATTGTGTTGTGGTATTCCTGGAGGTGTCCACTGTGAGAGAATCTCATTCTCTTGGAGATAGCCATTCACATATAAATTATCACCATAATAAATAGAGCAAATACCATTGCCTATGTTAATGCGAAACCCATGCTTGTCCAACATAGAAGCTGAAATTATATTCGAAACAAATTTAGGAACATAATAACAATCATCTAACATAAGTACTTTGCCCGAAGGCATTATTAAAGAAATTGATCCTACAGCTATAGCCGCAACTTTTGCACCATTTCCAACTTGTAGATTAATTTCTCCTTTCTTTAGTCTCCTACTTATCTTGAACCCTTGAAATATATTGCAGATGTTATAACCACTGCCAGTATCTAATACCCACAGTGAAGAATTAGTAGTAGCTAAAGAAACCTTGAAAACATTTTTCATTAATATCTCACCTTGTTTCTTGTCCTTTAGAGTTGCAAGATACTCCTTGCAGTTTCTCTTCCAATGCCCTTTCTTATTACAATAAAAACATTCGGCATCATATACTGACTGCAAGATCAAATCTTCAGAAATCTCTTTTCCACCCAACTTCTCATATTCTTCGGTAAGAACAATCACATGATTGACAAGGGGTCCAAATAGAGTGTTTTCAATATCCAACCGTGCATCAACCATCTTCTTAACATATTCAATGATTGCAGTTGGATCCATATTCTGATGTTTCCTCTAGAGTTCAGAACTCATAGAAGCGAGAATGATGTGTTTAATAGCAAGGCATGCTTCCAAGTGTTTCTGATAAACCTTGGTGCCTTGAACATCATTCTATGGTGGGATTATCTTTGCAGGATTATCGATCACATAAATGAGCTTTTCATGCATGAGAGCAATTCTCAAATTTCTATACCAGTCATCAAAGTTTGGTCCTACCAACTTGTTGGTCTCAAGTATTTCACGCAATGGTATAACAAACATATTGAGAAATCTAAAATATGGAAAAGAAAAGGCAATAATATAAGAACATATTTACATATATATCATACAGACATGGACTTTTATCTAAATGATATTTTCACTAATTATTTTAAACTATTTACCCTCAATATAGTTTAAGAAATCTCTATTTCTTTTACTGGAGTAAATGAATCCTTTAACAATATGTATGAGCCCCTTGGAAGTCAAGTCGTTTCACATATATTTAAAAGTTAGGTACTCTTACCAATTGTATCCCCATACAATATCCTTAAATAGCTCTATGTCAAATAGTCCCCTGGTAGTCAGGTCGATCCTATTGGCATAGTTGAGTTCAACCATCATGATAACAAAGAACTTATTAAATTTTATACTCCCCGGGTAGTCCAGGAATCTAGTGTAAAATTAAATAATTCTTCCAATCCATGCATCTAATGCAATAAATAATTTTAATATATTCTCGAACTATAAGTCTCCTGGTTGTCAGGCCGCTCCTTATAGACAAGAAATAAATAAAATTATTTATTTTGATGGATAGGTTTACAATAAAATATCTTATATTTTATTATTTAAGAACTCAAATTTTAGTAAGAGAGAATTGTTACTAAAAAAAATTTTAATAACATAAAGATCAAATCTTTTATAGCATGTGAATTTAGTTCAAGTTGTCTACATGCTTTAGTATCAAAGCACAATAAATAACTTGTCAATTACTATGATGATATCAGGTCAAAAGAAACTCTTACATCACATTCTTCAAGAGAATATCCTATTGACAGTTTATGGTAATTCTAACAATTAGGAATTATCCAATGAATCGGTTCAATGATCATATCTCTATATGCATCATCTATTTATGTTATTTAGTTAATGAAATTAACTAATCTTTATCCCATAAAGACGATCACATAAATATTGATCTAATCGGATTATTAATGTCCAAATTAATAATCCTATGATCCAGAACAAAATTTAGATTAAATTGTAAGAGACTTTACTCTCATTATCATGATCTCCATCATGATGACAAGTCTCAAAATTTAATCAAGGACCTTATTAAATTAATCAAGCAATTAATAATAACTATGATAAACGAATATCAAATGCCATATATTTTTATATCAAATAACATTCACAAAAATATGTTCAAATCATCAAATATGATATTGGATCTAGGGCATATCTAATATATCCCTATCAGTCATATTTCGAGGTTCCGCGGGTTTGAGGTCGAGCTTCCTCTGTACTCCTACTGTTTTAGCAATATCCATCCCAGCCACAACATTTGGTTGATTGCTAGAGCTTGCTCCCATTGCGGCCTCTGGATTTTTAGCTGTGTCATTAGTAACAGCAGTGGTTTTCACTTGGCTGAGGCTGTCTCTCAGTATTTGTATTCTCCATAACCAGTTGCCTCTGTGATCCTCCTTGCGTAGCTTGCTGGTTCTTTGCTCCTGTATTACTCTGTTCATTTAGTAATACACTCTTCGATGCAGCTAACTGTGTCAAATTCAGATTCGGGGGAGTAATCATCACTCCACTCGGTACCAACTCTGTATCAATCGCTCCACCCAAAAAAATACCAGTTGAATCATCCAAATTTGCTCTATTTGTCATCTCCTTGTTGATTGCAAGTTCATCTTTCTTCAATAACCTGTGGTTTACCTTAGTTTGCTTCATATCCGAGAGTTCAATCTTGTTTTTCTTCCTGCCTCACGCTTTATATTATCCTTGAATCTAATTTAAGTGTAAAAACAACTAAAATTTAGCCCGGGCCACTTGGTTTAGCCTATAGAGATCCATTATTTTCATTGCGTTCTACTAAGCCAAGTCTAGCAGAAATTCTCAGTAATCACGTACAAGCAAATGGATTTGATTTCAGTCGACACAAGTGCAAAAAATATAGTGTCCCTTCGGATCAGATTTAGAAGAAATTGTTTATCGAAAGATCTTAAATGTAAGGCAGACATTAATTGGAACAAAATTAGATGCATATATATAGCATGGAAAAAGAAGAAGAAAGCAAGATAACTAAGTCTAAGGTCGTGGTTCAAGTAGTAGAAGGCACGAAACTATATTGTCATCATTTGATCCATCATCATATTTCTGACCAAATCTCTCAATTTCGAGGAGAAAATGGAACGCCTAACTCATCATCACATTCAGAGATTTCACTCGTGCAATTTTGTTCAAAGGGGAGTTGTTGGGCTGAGAGCATGGTATTTTCGAACAATGTGCTGTTGGTAGCAATGCTATGAATTTGATCTGTCTCATCCTCCACGAAGTCCAATGATGTGGTCGCTAATAATCTTTCTGGATTAACAACTGAACCTTCGAGTCTGGTTTTCACCTTGTGTCGCCATCCATGTAGCGACTTCCTAACATTCTCTGAAACAATGGTCTTCTTGTATCTGGAACCCATCTGCTTGATCATGGAATAGTGCAAAAGGATATATAACCAAGGACAAAAGAAAGAGATAACATATAGTGCTTTTAAGTAATTACCTGAGCAACAATAACATAGAGTGGAAATGTGACAAAGCTACACCAGAATTGAGAAATAACCCTGCAGCAACAATTTAACATGCGTCATGCCACAATGAGGTGGTCCATTCAGCAACAAGTTAACAAGGAAGTCAGACAAAGATAGGTACCCAAATGACAAGCGAATCACGAGAAAGGTTTGATTTTCTGTAAAACATGATGATCCCTTAATTTCCCACTGCATCAGAAAAGGAAATCAGTGGTTAGCACCTATGAAGAAAATTTTGTATCTCTGCATATGAAAATTACATCTTTTGCCTTTTCTAAGGATTAGGTGAAAATATAAAACAGACACAAACCACATATGAAAGCTCTCTGATTTGCTCTCTGTCATATTGTCTGACCCCTAGGCCATAGCTCAATATAACTTTGTAGTTTGCTTTAAGAGTTGAAAAGTTAGTAAATAAATGTTCTTTACACTTGTAGAAGTTCTGTTTCCTACCAAAAAATATGGTTTTTACTGTTGAAAAATGTGCTCAAGTTATGTAGAGGCTTCCAAAAGGCAAAACTGTCAAGAGTGTAAAATAAAAAAAACACAAGGCAGAAGATATCGCTCTGATCACACAATGATATGCAGTCAATGGAGGGTCTGTGAATAACAATCAGTACACGGAACTTGCATCTATTGGCTACAAAAGGGAAAATATTCCTTATAACTGTCTGCAGTAGCCCAACTAGGAACAATGTTTCCTCATAAGCAACTCAACTTCTTCCCATTGACAATTAAGACAAAATTGTTTTAATTCATTATAAGCAATATAAGCAAAACCTCAATCAGAAAACTAAGTTCCCAAGTTCTTACCAGTGACCAAATGTATGCTGCCATCTCAAATGCGTTCTGCATATGATTCACCCAGAAGAGCAATCAATAAGTCATATATGAGGCAGCTATATCATTGACCTAAATTTAATTAACGCCTACTCTTGTTAAGTCTTTTGAATTTGAGGATAATATTTATGTTATTTTGCATACCTGGAATGATATAAATTGTATTATCCGCAGCAGAAGCCTAGGCTTCCCAAACCAGAAGAGCTCGTCTCTGAGGTTAAACTGTTGAAATCCTTCCCTTGGACTACTATCCATGATTTCAACTGCCAGCTTAACCACCACATGGTGAAGCTTGGTACCAACCAGAAGGATTAACTTCCAAATACAATTTTTGAAAAGGTCAGAAATTGAATGAGAATGGGTAATGCTTCTGAAGCAAAAAAGAGAACAGAAAATAACAAGGACATACAATAGCAGGAAAGAAGGAGATCCAGAAGTATATATTAGTGCCTGGACAACGATCATCAAAATTATCCATCATCTTTCTGAAAGAACTAAATGAACAATAGAACGAGAAGGATTCAAAAACAAGTCAACAATAAGCCTACTAGACATTTTGGCCTTTTGGTTCATTTGCATATTAATCTTTCCCGGTTCCTCTTCTACTATTCTAAAGAAGGGATACAACCAGGAAATAATTCAATAAAAGTATAGCATCCTCTTTATTGTCTTTTATTAATCATAGTAATCTAGTTGCCATGACTTTTATATCCTTTTTGTTGCTGGATTTTTACTTTCAAATGCCAAGCAATTAGGGTGTGATGCCGAAGTAGCAAAACGAACTGAATCTAAGCAAGTCTGAAGTCGTAAAGTAGCTCGTAGAGCGAGCTCAATCTGTAGCTCAACTCCCATTCTCTCTTACAGTAGTTATAACTAAAAGAAAATTTGATTAAATTATCTGTTACATCAAAAATACGTGCTTGGCAGAAATTCTGGAGAATATCTAGTGGAAAAATTACCGTGAAAGCTTAAAAATACACAAAGTATGACGAAAATCCATAGTGGAACACTGCAACCAAAGAAGAATCAAAAGGAAATATTTTAGATGAATAAATCCATAGTGGAATACTGCAATAAAAGAAAGAAAAAATCTTAGATTTTTGCCGTAACCATGATATCTCACAGTTTGTGAAATGTTGCATTTAGTCCTCAGACAGGGACATATATGTCAGGTTTTGTCTATAGTCACAACATAATTGACCCATTTTCTTAAATAGAAACTTGCCTGTCCTCCAAGAATTCAAGCTAGTATAAACAAGAGCTGTACTTTTGAAAGTTTAATATTGATGGAACGTCCTTTGAACTAACAGCTATACTTTCAATAATACTATCACCTTTTGGAAACTTCTCTAGTTCTAATAGTAATATGTCCAGACTTTTATTAAGAGAAGTAGTACGTAGTGCAAGGTTCTGATAAGAAGAAGGCCGTACGTGGTGCAAGATTCCGGTGAGTCAGATGCAAGGCAAAGAACTAACACATGGTAATACTCAGTCTGAAACTTGTGTTCTTTATTAGTGAGACGAGAGAGGTCTAGATCATAAAACTGAAGAAGCTAAGACAAGCTAATTAAGCAGTCAATCTTAACGTCTTTACTGGTGTCCAAACATGATCACCAAAGCTATTGAGGGGAAACATGGAATGCCGATAATAAAACATAACCTCAGTAATAGCACTTTCATATATCTTTATGACTGCAGAAATTCCATATGAAGTTATTATTGGTCTGCCATCTTATAGTATAATTCATAATGTGGAAGACGGAGCTGGAGTAGCAAATAGTTTATTATGACGCAAAAGTTATGCTCAATAGGAAAAAATAACCTTCAAACTGATATGCCATTGTACCTAATGCCAACAATATCACGAAATTCTTCCTCCATGCTTCGAAGCATATACTTATGGAAATCATAAGTTAATGGCAGCTGATGAGTCTGCAAAAACACAAAAACAATATAAAGATATGGAATTGCTGCTCCGTTCTAGGAATATAGAGAGGTGCTATCGTGGTTCATGTTTCCATCCAAGCGCCCACACCAAATTCGTTTGGAAGGTTAGACCATTGCTGGAAAAGTCACAATGTAGTTCTAGAAAGTGGACCCTCTGTTTCACAGATTAATAAATGCTTTTATCATCAGTTAATCTGACCTTCTCATCTAGCTGTCCCCTAACAAGGCATTGACAAGACCTTAATCCATGAACTACACAGAAGTACCTAAAATAGGGCCTACTTGGTTTCTATTGTGGACTGATTCACATCACTAATGTTAGTAAATATTGTCTTCTGTGGTTATTAGTTAGAAAGTAATTTTCATAAAATAACCAAAACCCAAATATGATCAGCATGTGTAAATTAAGTGAAAATAACTTAAATAGACCAGCATGATGTCTGCTTTACAAAGTCACCTCAATGATCATTGAGGAAGATATTTCATTTGTGGAGGAAAACAAGTACATGACTTACAGTAATAAAACCCAGGCGCAAAGCCATGTAGTCAGCTTCATTTATAGAACTCCAGAACTGGCGGCTGAAACAAAGCTAAAAGGAGAACTTTGAATAAAATATCTTTAATTGCTTGAACTCATCACAGCACATGCCAAGAGGAAGAGAAGATTAAAGTATGAAGGTGAAAAATTTATCAGAACCACATGAAGTTAAGAAAAATGGAAAATTTGAGAGGAATGTGATCTGAAAAAAGAATCACAAGATGCAATTGTTTATAATAATTCAATCTGAATACATGAATTAAAGCTCATAACAAACGATGCGGCTAAGTTATAGTTCTACAGTGTCGTAAAGATTTATGACTCCTGTGTGAACAATGACAATTTGAATATTGAACCAAATGGCATTGTAGATCAGTACCACTCTAGATCATAGTTTTAGCTGCAAAAGCCACTTGAATTTGTTATTCTCTATTGGATTTTAAAGTTTTATCATCTTAAGGTATGTATGTAAGTCTTTTCCATGCCACTCCATTGCCAGAACAATGTACATAGATGTCCTATCTTTCAAATAAATTCAGGACGCATTGTGTTGACGTCAAGATCTACATGACTTGGGACATCTAGTATTCACCACTACTGAGCCACTTCTTTATAACATCATTGGGCTAATACTATTCCCCTTCAGTTGAGATAGCATAAGAACACCACGTAACAAGTATCCACTCAACCAGAAACACAAGATTTTATGTGAAAATACCAGCCAAACAAGAGCCCTGTGCTGGCTCCATGGGTGAGCAGTGTGGTGAAAAGTAAAAGTTGATATACGCCCCATTCTCTTGTTGTTTGGGACAGCTTCTTCAGAACCTAAGGTTAAACTTGCAAGTAATTATTCTGGAAATGATAAATAAAGTATGAGGAATAGTAGTACCACTGGGAATTTTTGCACCTTCCAGTCTTTGAAGAGCCATTGACTTGGCATAGTTTTCCCATGTTCTCCAACTATATATCTGCATGGTTAATTCATGGTGTTTGGTGGATGTGGGGAGGAAGTTCAGAGATGCAATAAGAGATTAATCATGCAGAAGATAGCCAACCTTGATCATAGCCAGGGCAATGGCGAAAAAGCTATAAGATACATGACTAACACCGAGGACAAGCAAAAAACGATGGAGCTGCTCCAGGCTCTCCTTTGAAGCAAACGATTGGAGACCCTGATAAAACCATCATGAGATGTTGTGGAGCCAGTATGAGCACTGGCCACTTAATTAAAGTCAACAACTAAAACAATTTGAAACTTGTGAAGAGAATCAAATGAAGCAGGGAAAATGTCAGAGTAACTTCCTTATTCCTTCATCAAGATAAGCTTCACTTGTTGTCCGAGGTAGAGAGCCCTGAGGAATCTTTGTAAAAAATAGTCCTATTTTCAATTTCGACACACCTTAAACTTTGATCCAAAAGTTTGGGCTTCTTAACTCCTCCAATCTACTAACCTATTAGTACTAGAGATAGTAAAATCATGGATTTTTCAATGAAAGAAAACATTTCAATATTTAATTGTGCCACATTCAGGAATTTTCTTGGCTATAATGTTTTTACTTTCCAATTGAATAATCCAATGTGGCAAATGTTAGCTTTCAACAATAGGATAGGGATTCCAAAGTTGTTTACAGACTATCCCTATAGATGATAGCTTGTGAAGGATCGACCAACATTTACTCAAANGGTTCAAACAAAATTGAGTAGAACATTCTTGTTTGGCTACCTCAGGACAAAAATCTTCATTCCTGCTGCTTAACAGCAGCCTTGAACTTGAAGTTGAGAAATTCGAGTATGAAGAACCTGATAAAACAAATTTTGTAATTGCTGACTCCCTCTTGTTTCTTGGCGGAGAACATGGATAAAAGTGGCTGCTGAAAGCTGATGACTTGACACAAATCTTTGCAACATAAATGATCCAATGACCCATTAGCAGCGATAGCAGTCCAAAAACCATAAGCTCTGCTTGCAGCCAAAAGGAGGAAAAGGAAAATGAAAACAAAAGAATTCGTGAAGCAACCTTAATTATTTACTAATGAAAAGCCAGCAGTGTTTAGAAGAATGTTAAGAGTTGAAAGTGTAAGCAGTGTTTAGAAGAATGTTAAGAGTTGAAAGTGTAAGTTCTAGAACATATATTTAACTCTATTTTTACTTATTCTTCACACATATATACCAGGTCCGAGTAAAAAAAATTTGGTTCTACCAAACCCGCAAACCTTCTACATTCGCCAGTGCCAGCGAGCATGAAAGGCTCAATATACAGATAATATGTGGCTTACCTTCTTTGATTTTCTCTAGCGCAGCATAAAGAGGTTTCCTCTTCGTCCTGTGCAACCACTTTAGGAACAAAATACAAGTTTAGAGAATTCACTAAGAAATAAACAAAAGCATAGAGTTCAACGTGTAATCCACCCCCAAGAAATATTTTGCAGAGCTCCAAAATAGAATAATAAAAAATGGTTTTTTCTTTTACCTTTCCAAACTTCTTCAAACTGCCATGGATCAAGAAACCAACGCTCACCAAAACTGTGACGACTGTCGCCACGGCCCATGTGGGCGTTTCAGCAAACGATGCTTCTTCCAATTTCTCCATCTTGACTAATATTCAACAACCTTAAAATCCACTATAAAATACTGCATCGACCTTAATCACATCTGTGGGTGAATTATCACAGTTCCATCACCTTCTTCTTGAAACAGAAGAAGATCTAATGCAGAAAGATGGGACTTTTTTCAAGGGCAGAAGCTTCAGCAATGAGCAAAGACTGCCATTATTTGGTCAGCTGATTTTGGTTGACAACTTCATAGGCACGAACGTTAACTTGGAGCATGGGGTGTTACGAACTAGGAAAGCATAATGGTCCCATGTGGAAATGCCTGATGCAAATCTTTTGTCAGTATGTTGTACAACCAACTGGCAATCTCACGCAACCTTGCTCTGCTCTAAATGCTCACCCACCTATGCTGTCGTAGTTGCTGTTTCTACCTTTTTTTTAAAAAAAATAATAATGGTGTGTCGTATATCAGTTAGCGTTAGGTAGATTAAAAAAATCTAAGTTGTAGACTTGTAGCTATTGAAATTTAAACCTTGGTATTCAAAGATTTTCATCCACTTTATTAATGCTAGCCATACCATTGAAAGCACTTGTGGGTTGTGGTTACTTTGACCTAGTCTTATATTTAGACTGTAAAATTTGTGCTTTTTTGGACGTAATGATCTCTCTCTTGACTAAAGAGTTGTCGTATTGTTGGGGAGGTTGGTTTCTATGTTCTTCCGAAAATGGAGTAACAGAATGCATCATATCAATAATCAACCTTTAACTGCTATCAGCCTTTTCAAGATGTCACAGCTTTAGTTGCTAAAGCCTTGAAGTTGTGGTATTGAAGTCTCAGATCAGCCTATTTGTGAAGGACATGTTATAATTCTGTATTGCTGTAATAAACAATTAAACTTTTTGGAAAAATAAAACAGAAAGTTAGTAATACTTGTTTAACGAAATAAATTCTGAAAAAACAGTATAGGAATAAATCGAGCCCACTGAATACACAGTGTGTCCTTAAGGAAATTATTCCCCTCAAGTACCCGAGGTGGTGGAATATATCCTCCCAGGATAGAACGATTTAACTCACCGGAGTGTTGGTATCAAAGCGCCGGTGAACAGCGAGCCACTCGAAGGCTGTAAAATACACTGGAATTTTTGTTGCAGAAGAAGAAGAAGCTCAGAAAATTTCGTAAGGAGAGATTCTGGGATTCAAACTCTATTTATAGAGTTGCTGCATTGTTTCTGAAAAGGTTTGCAACCTTTCAGAAACAGCCATGGCTGTTGGAAAAGGTTGTTTGAAATATTGCGGAAAAAATGTATTTAAAATAATTCGGGAAAGAAAATAGGCCTGACCGAACCGGGTCGCGGGTCATGAGTTATTCCGGATTTTTTCGTTAATTATTTAATTAATTAATTAAATAATTGAAAGAAATTTTGTCCAAAAGGATTAATCAATCGATCAATCTTTGACTGAATCCGAATCCGAGCGAGCGACGACGACGACGGCGCGAGGCTTGCCTTTTTCTTAACTCTTTAAGAGCTAGA